TACCGTACCGACCGTCCGGTAAGCCAGGAATCTAGCCGTGCCGATAGACGTCGGTTCGCTGTCGCCGGTAAAGTGAGGAACGATTGGTAACCGGTGTCTCGTCGGTATTACAGGAACGTTGTAACACCGCGTTACCGTGGTGCAATAAATCGAACACCCCTGAGAGCATGCAACAACGCGCCCGCGTCTATGAGAATCTTATCTGTGCTTGTCCTACCTTTGCTGGTCTCCGGTTGAATGTTCTCCGTTTTGATCTCCGCCCTCGTCGCGTAGGCGATGGGCGCTGGCGATGCTTGCGACGACGGAGCTGCTAGTTTTTCTGGCCGCCGGAAAGAAAAGGAAGATCATTTGCTAACACGACGGAACAATCGCGATTTCTTGCTCCCGATACTCACCCGCTAGCAAAGGGTTGGCGGCCGCGATGTTGTACCTCTGCCGCCTGCAAGAGGCGGTTACGGAGGACGTGGTGGACGTCGGCTGACTTGCCTCGGCCAGGTCGGCCTGCAGTTCCCGCAGGAACGTGTCCAGCGTGTCGAAAGGCTCCTCCCCTGTGACACCGACCATCCCTTCGCCCTCTTCCGCCGGCATGTTCGGGGCGGCTGGCGTTCCCACTAGGGCGCTCAATTCCATCGGGGAAAATTCGACCGACTGTCCAGTGCTGCTCTCCTAATCGGGCAGAAGCAGGTATCAGTGTGGCTATAAGCGTTTCTATCGATTTTGATCAATTTTTATTTCTTTTTTTTTTGTCAACTTTTGGCCGCGTATCTCTTTCGCCGCGGTCCTCGCTAGACGGTTAATGTGCACCGAGTGCGCACGGTTTTTTCGTACCAACCTGGAGACATTGCGTCAAGTCGACCATTTTGCCGTCATTGTCAGGGCACCAGAGTAGCTCGTCGTCTATGAAGGGCATGTTTGACTCCTCCTTGGGCACGAGGGTGGAGGTCAGCGTGAGGGTTTGCGATACGGGGACCGGCATCGGGACCCGTACCCTGCGGCGGGGCCTCTCTAGCCACCCCCGCGCTTTCTAACATCCAAAACCACCTCCGAATCGTCCCCGCTTTTCGCCTCCTTCCTTTTCCTGCACCGCAGACCTTTCTCTCGGTTCGAAGCTACACGCTGCTACGATTACCCTGAAACAGACACAGCTTCCGTTAGTGCGCGGCTAACCTTCTCGTTTCCCTATGGAACATTCGATCCGCGTCAGTATAATACAGGGTGTCCCAAATATGTCTCGCAATCCGAAAGCGGCGGGTTCCTCGGATCATTTGAAGCAATTTTTTCCTTTAGAAAAATTTTCTCCGAGACACCGTTAACGAGTTATTAACGGAAAAGAGTGACCAATGAGAGGCGAGATACGCTGGCGCAAGGCAGCCGAGCCAATGAGCGGAACTGGGCTTCGTGCGCTCGATGGCTCGGCCGCCGAGCGCTAGGCGAGCTCGCCTCTCATTGGTCAGTGGTTTTCGTTAATAATTCGTGAACGAAGCCACGCGTGGCATTTTCGCTAAGGGAAAAGTTACTTCAAATGATCCCAGGAACTTCTCATTTCCGGTATGCGAGACATCTTTGGGACACTCTGTAGAAAGATCTATGCAAGATGAACTTAACCTTTTAGGCACGACGCGCCACTATAGTGGCTTCCGCGGATGTCATCTCTCTGAACGACGTGTCACTATAGTGGCTTACTCTAGTAGCTCACTCGGTCATCGTTTGAATCAAATAATTGTATATATAATATAATATAATATAACTGTATATATATATATTATATTATTATATTATTATTATATATATAATATAATATATATTATATTATATTTTATATTATTATTATATATATATATATATATATATATATATATATATAACTCTGCCGTTCAGAGAAAATAGCCTCGTGCAGAATTCAGCCGTACCTAAAAGGTTAAGAATCGAAGGGTAGGAACGTTCGAGCGACGTTCGAATTTCCGTTGGATTGGCAAAGATGTCGTTGGACGATGGAATTGCGCGG